GAGAGAAAGTGTGGGGACCAGCTTAACCCCTAAAAAAGGAGGGACTGTTTCCCGTTTTTTTATGGTGGGATTATTTTCTCTCCTCTTTCCCTCCTAAAATTTTGGCCACTTTTAAAATTTTCAAACTTTTCACAAATTATGGGATTTAAAGTTTCCCTTCATTACAAAAGCACGGGTTCAATAATAAAGGGGCATATAAATATAGCTACCCCTTTCAGTTTTTTTTCCCACTTCTTCTTTCAAGTCTCCACAAAAATTTACAGATCATGTATCCCAACAAATTTAAGTTAGCAGAATATTACATACCAATAGTTTTAAACCACTAAGAAAAAAAAAAGCCTTCATTACTCCATCTGAGCTTTGGCAGCATTCTTCCAGTTCAGCACATCAGCAAAAAAAATCCCTTTCTTCTACACTTGTATTCTGGAAAAAAAAAAAAAACACACACACACACATATATGGTAGAGGAAATTGAGGATGGGTTTTTCAGCATGGAACAACTACTAGATGAATATATGCATGAAAATTCAGATTCTGAGGCAGAACTAGAGTTTATGGCACAAGGCAAACATGAGCCTATTGTACGAAAACAAAAGCCAGAACTTACAATGGCAAAGAAAAAAGAGATTGTTGATGAAATGCTACCACTTATGCATAATGACACATTACCAAGGGGTGCTTTAGCAAGATTTGCAAGGCACTTTGGGATTCACAAGTCAACAACAACAAGATTATTTAAAGAAATATGCAAGCAATTGGCTGAAGGGACTGTTATTGATGTCAAGAGAAAAAAATTAGGCAAGTGTGGCAGAAAAGCAAGGCAGTACACAGAGGAATGGTTACAATCAGTGCCATTATACCTCAGAACAACTGAGGGAAGTTATGCTGGTGCACTTGGAATTTCTCATGTCACCCTCCACAAATTGGAAAAAAAGGGCATTCTCATAACACATACAAGTACAAACAAGCCAAGACTGACATCAGATCACAAGATAGCAAGGCTTAGGTGGGTTTTGTCATACATACAACCAGCAACAACAACTACAAATCCAACCTTTGAAGACATGAGCAATGTGATTCATATTGATGAAAAGTGGTTTACATAAATCCGGAGACTAGAAGATTTTATCTTCTGCCCAAGGAAGAAGATCCATACAGATGTCAACAATCAAGAAGGTTCAAGATAAAAGTTATGTTCATGGGCATGATTGGAAAGCCCATGTATGATGCACAAGGCCATTTGGTTCATGATGGGAAATATGGAATATTCCCCTTTGTTTTCCAGCAAAGGGAAAAGTAAAAAAAAGTAAAAACAAATAAGCTGGAAAAATTGAAACAAAGGCAAATCAAAATATAAACAGAGAAGCAATTAGGGAAATATTGCTGAACAATGTGATACCAGCCATTGTAAGCAAATGGCGTGCAAACATGCCAAAGGATGTGGTTATCCAATGGGATAATGCCAGGCCACATCAAGTGCCACAAGATGAAGAATTCATTGCAGCCACTACTCAAGGGGGGTTCAACATCAGAATTGTATTCCAACCAGCACAATCTCCTGATTTAAATATGATGGATTTAGGTCTGTTTAGAGTAATTCAATCCTTACAGTACCAATCTTTTCCTAAAAACTTGGATGAAATGATAGAGAAGGTCAAAGAGGCTTATGATGCATTTCCACCAATTGTCAACAAGTATACTTGGATAACATTGCAAACATGTATGGTTGAAATACTCAAAGAGGAGGGAGGGAACAAATACAAGATTCCACATATAGGGAAGCATAAACTACAAAGAATTGGGTTGTTACCAGAACAATTGGAGGTCAACCAAGCCCTCATAAACCAAACAGTCAACTACCTCAATACCATTTTCATCCACACAGATCAGAACCAGGAAGGAACTCAGAACCAGCAAGGAACTCAGTTAGAAGTGGATGCAGATTAGAGATAAAGGTGGGAGAATAGCCAACAGGGACTGCCACACATAACCAACATTTTGTTGATACAATGGGTTTGTAAGTTATTTTAATTAACTTTGGTTATGTGTACTTTTGTATCTTGTAAGTTTTTGTCTAAGGCGGTCATGTTAGAAGACATTTTGTGAAGGGACTCAATGTGTAGCTAATTTAAAAGTGGTATAAAGTCTTCTTAGTAGTATTTTGTATGAAATTCACCTTTTCTTTTTTTCACATTTACAAACATTCATACATTACTTGCAAGTAACATTGAACAAAGGGGTGGATAATCCATCAGAGGGTGTAATTTTTTCTAACAAAAAAAAAAAAGCCCAAACCATGTTACCTCAACAGTAAGTGCACAACACTTAAACTAGAGCAAACCATAGTTTGGACCATTTTTAATCAATTGAGTCCCTTCATCATTTGGATTAATAATGGGCATGGAAATCTAAAATAGGGACTCATTCCACTAGGGACAAATAACCAAAAAAGGGACTAATTAGGAAACAGGGAGGGACTGAATAGGAACTAGGGAGGGACTCAATGCACTGAATAGGCAACAGGAAGGGACTGAATAGGCAAAATGGAGGGACTGAATAGGCAACCAAAAAAGGGATTGAATAGGCAACAGGGAGGGACTCAATGCACTGCATACTGACTTGCAAACAATGTGTTCTCTAAAATATTGTCATAGAGAACAACAAGTAAAATTGCTCATACACATCATTCATCAATAATAGTCCCTTATATGCAAGGCATCAGGCTTCAGGCAACATTGATCATGCATTAAAGATTAGGCAACATGCATTCAAGAGCAAGCAACTTAACAAAAACGAATAGGCAACATGCAACCACAATAGTAGGAGACTAATTCATCAACATAATCTACCAACAAAGGCAACATCAGCATAACCTACCAACAAAGGCAACATCAGCATAACCTACCAACAACATCAACATAACCAACCAACAACAACAGCAACATCAGCATAATCTAATCACAACAGCAACAACAACTTAATCTACCAACAACATTAACAACGACCCTGGTTGTTACTGGCATCCATTGCCATTCACACCAACAACACTTCACCAATCAACCCAGCACATAAAAAAATATAAGATAAAATAAATAAAAACCGAGAATTTAGGGATTAGAAATTGTTGCCCAAAGCAGGTCAATCAGTAGGAAGGTCAAATTTCATTCGCTTACTCTCAGGCGCATCATCAGATTCACCAACAGTAGGGGGGACTCATGTTTTTCATCATCATCGTAAATTGGTGTTATCTTAGCACCAATCCCATACATTCTTCTCATTTGTGCAGCAGAGACCCTAGGAATCATCTTAGGATAGTAGTTAGGTTTGGGTCTGGTAAGGGACTGCGATTTGGGTTTTTTAGCACGACCCAACCCAGATTTTGCACCCATCTCAGAAACAGATGCGGATCCTTTTGAACCACCCGAAATCAAACCACTATTGTCCTCAGAAAAAGTACTGAATTGATGTGAATAACAACCCAACCCAGACATTTTGGCCACCTTAACAGGTTCGGATTTCATTTCCCCTTCCCCAAAATTCGAGGCAACCGCACTTAATTTGTGAGCGGCTTCCTCATCTTCAATAGATCTGAGTACTTTACCAATCGCAGCGAAGGTTCGTTGGTTGAAAATTTCGCCACCTTAGCCCAACATAAAGAACTAATTAGGCCAGGAAGCCCGTTGTTCAAAAGCTCCGATGAGAGCATCTATGAAACCCTACTCAATTTCGTCGTCAGTCGCGAATAAGGCTTCGTGTAGTGGGAGTAGATCCATTCAAGAAGGAGGAAGAGAGGAGAGAGAAGGAGGCAAGATCGATTCAAGAGGAGAGAGAAGGAGGAACAGAGGAGAAAGAAGGAGCTAAGATCGATTCAAGAAGGAGGAAGAGAGGAGAGAGAAAGACCCAAGTGAGGCAGATGAAGAAACTTCAATAACTAGGGTTTCAATTCTGATGGTTGTTGATTTAATTAAAGGCATTTAATTTGGTAGGTGGGAGAATGATTTAATTTTTGGTGGGAGTTGTTAAATTAGTGGAATCAGATTAGGATGCTAATGTGATTTAACTAATTGCCTAAGTGAATGTTTAATTTTTTAAGTAAGGGTAATATTGACATTTTAACTAAAAATACTTACTATAAGTGGAAATATTTGGAAAGGTTGCAACTAATAGTAAGCAACCGAAAATAGTAAAAGTTGCAACTAAATGTTAACGGAGGTAGTAAATAACATTGTCATGCATTATTATCCATCAAATTAATTAATTTAAAATAAATTTTGTAACAATATTTGCAGAATTATATTATAGGGCTGTGATGAAAGTGCATGGGATAGAAGTGGAAAACTACATTAGATTTGATATCTTACTTTTGCATGTGGGCAATGGCATGTACTATACTATACCCTATCATCATGTCCATCATTTCCGTTTACTTTGCAGCCACAACGAACTTGTCACATCTATAAAATTTGTTATTTCGGGAATATGCCACTTTTAGCAAATCTTAGTGGTCATAAATTCGATAAGATAAGTATGTATGTCATAATATTAATTTAGTCATATTAGCCATGTATTTACCTTTGCTCTACTATAAATAGGCATACATTAGTACAATGCTAAATTCATAACATCACACAAAAAATTATGAATGTAAATGTGTTCTTAAGGCGGAGTTTGATGATATACTACTACGTATATAATATGGTTTATATAGGAGTATAATTATTATACTATGGCATGAAGAAGTATAGAGAGTGAAATGCAGCCAAGGATGACTTGCCGGAAGTTTTATTAATAATGTTGCAACTTTTTAAATTAAGTAGTGATTATATTTAATTAATTACTTCCCGGCAGGTTGTCCTTGGCTACATTTGGTTCTCTTCTTCTCATGCCAACCTATATAGACATTTTCAAGATCCAGGCTTATGCATGTATTGGTGTTTGGAACTCGTCTATATCCATGTGTCATCATTTGTATCTTTGCTATATTGTGGCACAAATCATGAAAGGAAACGGAAAATACAGGTAAACTGTGAAACAATAATCAAGAATATTTGCTTAGCCTTCATTCATGGCTTTTGGCCGAAATATATAATCGAGTACAAGATAATTATGGCAAGAATATTAAGAATATTATCTACTTAACATATAACTTATCTTTGCCAACTAAGTATCCTAACCAAATCATATCAAATCTTTCTCATTTATCGTAACATAAACACAATTTTATTTTCACCTTCACTTAAATAAACTAATTATTTATGATTATTTTCCATGTTCACGAAACAATAATGCATAAAATCTTGTACCCAAACCAGCAAAATAGTGTCGGGTTTATCATGCTAATGTGGGCTTTTTTTTTTTGGGTCGGACTCTAGTTTTGAAGAACTTTTAATGCGTTTTTAGTCTTGCTTAAACCCGCACTTTTTTCAAGCCGGACCGAATCAATCAGGCTAGCCGCTAGCATGCTAGGCTATTGTTGACCACCTCTACATATAAATCACAAAAACAAGGTCAAAAGTGAGTGTGTGAATAGTGCAAAAGCCAAATTAGGTCAAGTAAGAAAGAATAGAGGAAGTAATTCATGTTAACATGATACATAGAATCCTTTGTTTTGAATTTATTAATTGTCATCACCTTTATTTTGTAAATTAAACTAGTAATGTAGTGACCATTAAATTCAGACCGAACGAAATAGTATACGTAGAAAGTTTAAATAGGAAAGATGATCGAAGCCGGTGGAACTATCTTTTCCTTAGGGGAGCAATCCCAACCAGAATCTGGGGTGTAAGACAAATTAAAGTGCTTGGGAATCCAGTCTTCTCCCATTGATTTCCTTTGCTTCAGGAGTTCTCTTTCCTTCTCTTCCACTGCTCTCTTTGCCTCTCTTGCTTTGTCCCAATCTTTGCTTAGAATAGCTTTGCTCACTTCTGCCCACACGACTGCTGATTCACTTTGCCACACTCCCTTAAAATAATGTATACATGGATAATCATTAGAATAAGTACACCAGACCATTACAACAGAGCTAGTTTAGTTGTTAAAATATTTTAAAATTGTTATCACAATATCAAAAGTTCAACAGGCTCACCTATGTAATGGTGTGATTTATTTACCTGATTTTCATTTATATGAACTTATCTTATTTTATCTGAATGAACTTACATGAACTTATCAGACATTATCAAAACTTATTTTATCTGAATGAACTTACATGAACTTATTAGGCCATATATATCTTATTAATATGTAGTTTGAACTTGGGTACCCTTTATACTACCATAACTTATTTTTCCCGAACTTATCTTATCTTAACTTAACTGACCTTATCTGAACATATTAAACCTAAAATAATTGAAAATAAAATCAACAGAATAATATAGGCCCTAATAATGTTTTTTTTTTCTCTCCTTAAAAATGTCTTTTTTTCGTGATTAATTAGGATTATATATCGATTGTTACAGGGTATTACGTACATACATATATTTAGAGCCTTTCTTTGCACATGACCAACATCTACCAAGGTCTTGTTCTCTTTACCTTATAGTCTTATACTAATAAGTAAAAGCAAAAATACATGGCTTGAAAAGAATCAACTACTTCCTTTGTTTTTTTTAGTTTCATCACTTTCTTAAAAAAGAAGTTTTAAATTAGTTATATTACATCACTTTTCTTTTAACTAATAAATTCTCTTTATCTCTCTCCTACCACATGGGACCTATTTATCTTTTCTTTCTATCACTCTCTATTTCAAAAATTGCGTAGGATTCCATGAAAACAAAAGTAATGTAACTAAAAAAAAACAGAGGAAGTATTAAAGTGGCAGGGGAGGGGAAGGCATGACACCCTATGAATTTGTCCCCCTCTCAACAAAAATAGGAGGTAAACTAAGAAAACAACTACCTCATTATGGTCCTTTAGAATTGGGTAGGAAGTGCAGAGATAACCTCTTTTGGACAGTATAGGACTTTGGTTTTCCCATCCGTAGTATCTTTTATATATACACACCTGAAGCAACCAAAAAAAAAATAAAAATGATGTATATATTATTGGTAAGCAAGACTATATATCATGATTTCTAATTCATATTGACTATTATGTTAAAAATTTCATCTCTGTCCAAATTTAATACTCACATATACTCATTTTGATGGAGTAATATATAATAGATATGATAACTAATGTCAGATAGAGTTTTTATAACGTAAATTGAACAAATAGGTTACAGGTACCTGTCCCAATGGCCATATATTTCAAATAACTTCTTCGACGAATCAAAGATCTTGCCTTTGATAGCCCCATTGCCTCCTCCAAAACCTAAAAAAGAACCACTTTTAAAGTGTAGCTCAGCTTCAAGACCTGATTCTTGGCACTTAATCTTTACATTTCCCACCCAAGAAGTACCTGGTTTTGGTAATAACCTATATTGTAGTATTGGAGAGTTCATCACATAACTTTCTCCCTTTTCTAGTAGATTTAGCCTCCTTTTTCCATGGATCACTGCATCTATGACAGTTCCTTTATTAAAGAGGAAGAAAGTTAATTAAAACCAAATATATTTAATTAGACAACAAAATTATGTATAATGATTAAATTTACAGTAACTATTATATGTGAGGGGGCATGATAGAGTATAAAACATATTCCTGGACCTCAACCATCAATTTAAGTTTTTGATTGAGTTGATCCTTTAACAATACTATCACCACACAGTTCTATTATTGTAATGCTTTACTTTGATGAGGGGCACACATATTGCCTTTGTTTGATATGAATGCACTTAATCACAACTTAATGCTCTAAAATTACATGTAGAATGCATCCTACTAATATATAGAGTTGAGATTAATTAAATTTGTGCATTCATAAATACTTCACTCTATAATTGGATCTGGCTTTACACATTGCCTTTGGCCTAGAAAGAAAAAACCAAAATTTAAACTAGATTTATGCATACTTTACTCAACTTATAATTGGATCTTGCTTTACTCTGTAGGTCTATGAGTCTGTTGTGTGTGTAAATAAAGCTGTAAAGGCAGTGATATAGTAAGGGATTCGATCTCAATTCTTGAGTACCACCCTTAAAATTTTAACTAACTAAGCTAATTAGCATTCACACGTCTGTGTGTGAAAACCACTTGTACTATGACAGTAGTTTTTACTTTTGCACAATTAATTTTGAGAAATCTTAAATCCAAAATGTAAATCAATTTCAATTTTATCAAACTAAAAACTAGAAATTGAATAAGAAATTTTATCAACAAGTAATCAGTAGGAAGTAATTATATAAATCTCTTAGGTGAGTGATTCTAAGGTAAAATGCACCCTAGCAAATTAAAGGAGTAATTAGGATACCATAGAATTTAGGAACAGCATGTTGGCACCAAATGAGCTCAATATTGTTAGCCTCGTCAGTTCCATGCATCGCGGCTACTGGCGGGTGATGAGAAACCTACAAACAACGAGCCAGAAAATTAAATATGGTATAATTGATGTTTAAAATAAGAAAAATGTTATATATAATCCTTAGGGCTACATACAAGGAGCTTAAAATGGAAAAAAAACAAATCAAAATATAATACTACACTGATTTGCGCGTGATTTTGTTATGCATTCCAAAATTAATACTTATTCATAACCCTAAATGCTTATTCATAGCCCTAAGAGCTACATATAACATTACTTTTAAAATAATACGAATTGAAGTATAACATTTTTTTTTATACATATGTACTACAAAAGATTGAATTAAATTACTCGTACGTTACAAACATATGTACGTACTTGTTCAGCTAGGATGTTGAAGGTGCCTCTAGACGCATGGTGAGTTTCGCCAAGAATGGGATTGAATGGGGCAACTCCAAACTCCACCATACGAACAGTCGAGAGATTCCAAGCAACAACGGAGATCATCCGATCAACAGCGTTCTCTCCGGTCGTGCATTTTCTAAGCATGTCCATGTTTACACAATAGACTAATTCTCCGTAGCATTGTAGTTGTGATTTTGGAAGATTTAACAAGGGAGGTAGCTGAAAATATACCATTGAAATTTCCTAATTTATTAATGAATTAGAGTAAAAACATAATTAATTCAATTTTTTGGATTTGATTCATTCCTATACATTGAATATTAACAATTAGCAACTAACTAACAATGTACGAGTAATTCTTAAGAAAGACTATTTCGGTGTAGGGAAGATCTCAAAATATAGGTTTAAAAGACAGTTATGACATTATTTTTACTAATTCGTTCCATTAAAATGACCAATTTTGTAAGTAACGTTTTATTTATTAGTAAGTAAATAAAAAAAAACCTTACATTGAAACGAGTAAGATCAGCTCCAAGTCTAATGTTCTTGAATAGACTGAAAATCAATTGAAGAATATTGGGAGCCTTGTAATCGGTATCCGATGTCCCTTCTAGAGAGAGTGGAGATGTTAATATGACATCCTTCTTGTTCTCAATCTTCAAATCGTGAACCTAAACATCCATCACCAAACAATTATAAGTTACCCCATATACATATATAAGGCCTCTCTATAATTTTTTAAATTGTAAAATCTTTTAAGGTTATACAAGTACATTGACGCCCCAAGTTATTTGCCCTAGAAGAGTAAGACCCTGTTCTTTTGAGTTTCCAGGCAAGCAGAGCAGAGTACAGCAAAATAGCTTATTTATATTCAGCAGAGCAGAGCAAAGTAAATTTCACTCATTTCAGTGGAACAGAGTAGACCACAACAACTTAAAAGAACAGGGCCTAAGAAGAACATATTGGGCAATAATAGATAATACGATCGTTGCATTAATGCATTGTATAGTAAAATTTGTTTGACTATAGGTGGTAATGTTAAATGCGCAAATGCTAAGTGAAGCTACCTACCTAGTAAATTAGATCTAGTTGAACATTGAATGCTGTTAATATGCATGGCCAGCCAAATGGTTGCCGTGTGCAACGTGGTCACCCAACATGGCAACATTTAACACTGTACTATATATACATATGGATGGGTGCGTGCTGTTCAACTGATTTCAGTTATCTAAATTTTTATTATTACTCTTAATTTCAACTTTTTTTTTAATGTTTTAGAGTTATCTTATCTGAACCAACTAATCCTAATATAAACTTTATTTTGCAAAAATAAGCTAAGGCGGAAAAAAAAAAAAACCTAAATAATTAATTGTAGTGTTGCCTCCCAACAAATGAAAAGACACATACCCAAAAACATAAACGTTTTAAATGGGTGATGATGTAATTCCTGTTTTTTTTTTTCTTCACTTTGTGAATTGTAGACTTCTAGACAATTTGGAGATGAGAAAGATATAGAGAATAAATGGACCCATGTGATAGGAGTGAGATAAAAAAAGTTTAGTAATAACTAATAGATCTTGCTAACGAATGTCTCTGGGGCGTTAAATAACCCTTTAAAATATTTCTTAAAATGGTATTAATTTGGAAATGCATGCCAAAATCATGCGTAGATCGGTGTAATTAATGTATATTTCAAGTTGATATTTTTATTTAAATTATCTTATCCAATGTTCCCAGGGCGTTCGTTAGTTTTTGCCATAACTAAAAAGGAAAGTGCAAATATACAATGAGAAGAATCTAACAAGAACCCCACATTACTATATTATCTCTTATTAATTTATGGCAATATATGCTCCGAATTTTTAAAGTTTGACCTATTTATTTGTAAAGGGGCAAAAAAAATTTGTAACATAGCTGAGGTAGTATAAAGTACCGAGTAACCTTTTCACATTAGACTCTTTGTAGGGATAAGGACTGTATTTTGCTTTATTGTTTGTGTTTCTTGATACTCGTATTAATTACGAGTATGATTTAATTTTTTACTTCTAGTGGCAGAACCAAGGGGGGGCTCGCGTAGGCCCTCCCCCTTGGTTTTGTTTATGAATTAAATGTAGCAATAATTTGTATAAAATGTATAATGGTTAAGTTGGTAATAGAGTGGGAAATTTATTTTGGAGGTTTTAGGTTCAAAGCTTGTACCTAACATTTTTTAAGATTTTTTTTTAGGCATCAAATTCGCTTTCCATATCTTTTCATTATTATTATTATTATTATTCTTATTATTATTATCTATTTATTTTTTTAATCTTTTCATTATTTTTAATAATACTTGATCTTATTGTTTTTTCACATTTTATAGACATATATTAATTAAGTCTATTAAAAAAAATAAAAAAAAAATATACAGACATATATTAAGTTTGGCCCCCCTAATAATAAAAAATTTTGGTTCCGCCCCTGTTTTCTTCCTTTTATTCTTTTTTTAATCGTTATATTTGGAATTCTACATTATTCACACAAATTTATTTCTTGACTATATTTTGTGATTTATACATTAATGAAAACATAGTTATATATGTAAGATATTGTTAGATTCATCTAAATATATACTTTCAAAATTTTAAATTTTTATAATTTTTTCTAAAATTAATTAAAAGCATTAATTGTATATAAAATGTATATTGACAAATATAAAAACCCAAATATTATAATTACGAGTAAAGAAAGCTTGTACCTAACATTTTTTAAGATTTTTTTTTAGGCATCAAATTCGCTTTCCATATCTTTTCATTATTATTATTATTATTATTCTTATTATTATTATCTATTTATTTTTTTAATCTTTTCATTATTTTTAATAATACTTGATCTTATTGTTTTTTCACATTTTATAGACATATATTAATTAAGTCTATTAAAAAAAAAAATAAAAAAAAAAATATACAGACATATATTAAGTTTGGCCCCCCTAATAATAAAAAATTTTGGTTCCGCCCCTGTTTTCTTCCTTTTATTCTTTTTTTAATCGTTATATTTGGAATTCTACATTATTCACACAAATTTATTTCTTGACTATATTTTGTGATTTATACATTAATGAAAACATAGTTATATATGTAAGATATTGTTAGATTCATCTAAATATATACTTTCAAAATTTTAAATTTTTATAATTTTTTCTAAAATTAATTAAAAGCATTAATTGTATATAAAATGTATATTGACAAATATAAAAACCCAAATATTATAATTACGAGTAAAGAAAGCTTGTACCTAACATTTTTTAAGATTTTTTTTTAGGCATCAAATTCGCTTTCCATATCTTTTCATTATTATTATTATTATTATTCTTATTATTATTATCTATTTATTTTTTTAATCTTTTCATTATTTTTAATAATACTTGATCTTATTGTTTTTTCACATTTTATAGACATATATTAATTAAGTCTATTAAAAAAAAATAAAAAAAAATATACAGACATATATTAAGTTTGGCCCCCCTAATAATAAAAAATTTTGGTTCCGCCCCTGTTTTCTTCCTTTTATTCTTTTTTTAATCGTTATATTTGGAATTCTACATTATTCACACAAATTTATTTCTTGACTATATTTTGTGATTTATACATTAATGAAAACATAGTTATATATGTAAGATATTGTTAGATTCATCTAAATATATACTTTCAAAATTTTAAATTTTTATAATTTTTTCTAAAATTAATTAAAAGCATTAATTGTATATAAAATGTATATTGACAAATATAAAAACCCAAATATTATAATTACAAGTAAAGAAAGTGAGAAACTATATACGTACACACGGATAATTTTTTTTCACTGTGAAAAGTTTTTTGTATTACATCTATTAATAATTTGTTATTTAAAATTAAAAACGTATTGTCATTCTTGAAATTTAAGGTTTGTGGTTGAGACTTGAGAGGCTATTTTCAAACGGTCAGCTTCATATGCATGGCAACTTAACAAAAAACACGTGGATTTAATTAATTACCATTTTTTTCTTTTTTGTCAAAGTTTAATGCCAACTCACTGACGTTGAAAACCTTGTCTATGAACAAAAACTATACGAAGTAATACGATGAGGGAAAAAACTAAAAAAAGTGTACGAATGAAGACTAGCTACCATGTTAATCTTCGGATCAATGTATTGATTATGTAAAAGTCTTTAGAAAAAAACCCCTATACAACAACACTCATATTAAGATCGCTTTTTTAAACACGTTAAGAAGTTAAATTTTAATTCCAACCAACTCAGGGAAAAAAAACTATGTATAAAAGAAAGTCATCCTCTAATATCAATTTATTTGAGCTAAATGTCTAGTTTTAGTCAAAATTTGTGAAGTTAATATTAGTACAACAATGCAATACAAATAGACGAAATAGTATATCTCCCTCGACCAAGTTCCATATGCAATTAAAAGAATGAAACCTTAGAATGAAGGCTGGAATTTTAAGAAAATGACGACGTCACTATTCCGCAACCTCAATCTTTATTATTAGAAATGGCATATATATATGTAAGTCTAATACATACTCTCATGAGATAAGGGCATGGAATTGTGGAAAACTCTAAACCTCAACCTCTGAAAAAGATTTACGTAATTTAAAACTTATTCTCCGTAATAAACTAAGTAATAATATATTCTCCGTAATAAACTAAATAATAATTTATACTTCATATATGTTAAGTAATCATAAAATAAAAAATGCTCCGTAGTAAGCTTCATGCATAAAGTGGAGAAACAAAACATATATTTGTATGTAAAAGAAAAAGAAAATTTGAGCTAAACCATAATGTCTATAAATGTATACGAAGTACAAGTATAATGCAAATTAAATCCTTTAATTTAAGTGGTTCAAACAAAAAATAATAAAGCATCAAAGTTCATCAATATTTTTACTTCTTTTATTTTTGCTTTGTTCACTTCATAAATTGTCTGCTTATTATTAATACAAATTACGAAGTAATATGATATTATAGCCTTATTGCCTAGGCAATAATCAATGCATACAGATAACAGACATACTAGTAATCTATTGAATATTGTAGTAGACAAGTAGCAATGATGATCTGCTCGTATGTACTTATGAATACTTTATCCCTAGATTATACCGTATATTTGCACTTGCTCGAATTATCACTTATATTAAAAAAAAAAACAAAAAAAAAAAAAACACAAATTTAGAAAGAGTTTTTTTTTTTTTTTAAACAATAAGCTCAATAAACAAAAATAAAAAGAGAGAGAGAGAGAGAGAGAGAGAGAGAGAGAGAGAGAGAGAGAGAGAGAGAGAGAGAGAGAGAGAGAGAGAGAGAGAGAGAGAGAGAGAGAGAGAGCTAGTTGCGTACCATTATGATATGATGAGGTGAAGAAGAAGAGAGAAGAAAAGAGGTGGATATTTTAGGGGTGAAAAATTACTAAGTGTTGAAGTGTTGATTGAGAAGACAAATAAATAAGCAAGGTTTTAAATGTTTATGCTGCCTTTATGGTTTGAGAATGCGAGGTAGTTCATGGTTGTACGTCAACTACGTAGAATTTATATTGGTTGTTACTTGTTAGATATTTCATGAACTTGCTCTTTAGTCAATCCAACTCATATGTGTTCGCTTGATTAAAGGCAAAGTGTTCGGATTTGACTGATCCTTAGCCTGATTTAAATCGCAACACTTTTGTTTACATCCATCTCAATATGAATCGTCAAAAATAAAATACTTATATATAATTAAGTATATGTTGTATGTATTATTAAGTGGGTTTCCATTCTCCAAAGAAATTGTATTTTTGTTACATTTCTATTTTTTAGATAAAATGTTACGTTCTAGTCCACACAAGAATTTGATTTTTTCATTTTATTTTATTTATGTGCCACATCTGGATAAATAATGATGGTTATGGCCCTTTCGGGACTGTCATAGATATTTCGATTAAGAAAAGAACAAGGAGGACGTACAATTGACAAGTAACTAACAGAATTGCTAAGTAGTAAAGACTAAAGAGGTAGGGCAAAATTAGATAGGATAATTGATTGTAGAGACCCTGGATAATTTCCTATAACTGTTCTAATGTACTATGGCGTTAAATTTTAATTGCGATATATTTCACGCATAGTGTACTATCTCATTTTGTACTTGCAATTATTTTGACATGGATACGTGTTTTAAAATCAAGTTTTTTGTTAAAAACTACTCCACACCTAATAAAACCTAGTTTTTGTGAGAAATTATCTAATAAAAAAAAATATTGTAACAAAATACTTAATAAAAGGTAAAATGTTGTAAAATACTACCTCTGCCCGAATTTTTGTCGTTGACTTAATTTTCTGGCGTTGACCCACCTCTAAACACTCTCGAAACCACCGCGAGGGTTGGTTTTTAAGGTGGCCTGGTAAGGCTTTTTTTGGGTGGTTAGGGGATATTTCGGGCTACGAGATGGTGGTTTTAAGGTAAGACGTGGTGCTTTTGCCTTTTGGGGTTGGAGGGTGGTTTCGGTGTGGTGGAGGAAGTGTCAAGCTGATTGTGTTGGTTTTGGGGATGAAAGCGGTGATTTTTTAAGGTGGTCAACGTCAGAAAATTAGGTCAACGTAGAATTTGTGACTAGAGGTAGTATTTTACAACATTTTACCTTTTATTAGGTAGTTTCTTACAACATTTTACTTTTTATCATGTTAGTTCCTTATGGATTCAGATTTTTTTTTCTTTAATAATATACCCTCTTATCTCAAAATTTGTTGTTATTTTGACTTTTTTAAAAGACAATTAACGCTCAAATACAAACTTTAAAGATGGATAGAGTACTTCGTAATTCATAAAATGTATGACAAAAATCCTCACTGATTGGTCTCCTCCTAACCGGTACAAACTTCTGAGCATGATTTGAATGAAGGAAAATGGCCAATGTGTGGATCACATTAGTTTCTTGACTTTCTTCTCTGATAGATTGAGTTATTGCTGTTATAAAGTGAAAACTTACCCTTTAATTTGTATGTAACTTATTATCTTCATTTATGTAGCATCTATTGATGCCTCTTCTAGTGAATCCTTCTATAGTGTGATGCTGGGATCAGAATTCAGATGCATTGAATCAATTAAATCTAACTATTTTTGAATTTGATTAATTATTTGTCAACATGCATGATACATATAATCCTTTGTTCTCAATTAATTAATTGTCACGATGCCACCTTTATTTTTTACTAATTTAAACTACTAACGTAACTATTAAATTCAAACGTAATGAAATATAATAAAGAAAGTTAAACAGGGAAGATGAAAGGAGCCGGTAAAAGCTTACATAGTATAAATCAAGTTATAGAGGAGCAAGAATGAACTTTCAAATAAACACTTACACTCCTATCTATGCCTTTGATACAATCAAGCAATATTATTACAAATTTGATTGATAATTTGTCAACATGATACCATGTAATCCTTTAATAATAAATAACTGTCACGGTGTCACCTTTATATAGTAATTTTAAATAAGTATAATGTGACTATTAAATTCGAACTGGATGAATTAAAATGTAGAAATTTAAATAGGGAAGATGATTAGAGCCCGCGGGACAATCTTTTGTTTAGGATAGCAATCCCAACCAGAATTTGGGATGTAAGACAAATCAAAGTGCTTGGGAATCCAATCTTCTCCCATTGATTTCCTTTCCTTTAGGAGTTGCCTTTCCTTTTCTTCAACTGTTCTCTTTGCCTCTCTTGCTTTATCCCACTCTTTGCTTAGAATAGCTTTGCTCACTTCTGCCCATACTGTTGCCGATTCACTTTGCCACACCCCCTTTAATATAATTAAAATTGAATAATCATTAGAATAATCATGCCATGACAACAAAGCTAGTTTAGTTGGTAAAACATCTGACTAAAAGTAATCGCAATATCTGATTTTCAACACTATATATATATGTTCATTTATCATGATTAGGATTATCGATTGTTACAAGGTCACAAGGTGGATATTGCACATGACTTCCACCTACTTAAATCCTGTTCTCTTTACATTATACTCCATACTAAAAAAAAAAAAGAAAAAAAAAAAAAAAAAGCATAACATACTAAGATTTTGTCCACCCAATCTCAAAAAAGACTACTCCATAGGAGGTAAATTAAACCAAGAAACAACAAATGTGGTATACGTACCTCATTAGGGTCCCTTAGAATTGGGGTGGGAAGAGCAGAAACAACCTCTTTTGGATTGTATACTGTATAGGACTTTGGTTTTTCCATCCGTAATATCCTTTATATATAAACACTCCTGAAGCAATAGATTTCAAATTTATTTATTTGTGTATTTATGCTAATTATTTCATATGATGATTAATGTCAAACATAGTTCATATAAATTATATTGAACAAATTAATTACGCGTACCTGTCCCATTGGCCATGAATTACGGATAATAATTTCTTCGACGAATCAAAGATTTTGCCTTTGATAGCCCCATTGGCTCCTCCTAAGCCCAAGAAAGAGCCACTTTTGAAGTATAATTCAGCTTCAAGACCTGTTTCTTGGCACTTAATAGATGTAGCCTCCTCTTTCCATGGGTCACTCCTTCTATGACAGTTCCTTTAACAAATTAAAGAGATTAGATCATTAGAGAACAACAAAGAAGAAAATAAATTAGTCCCAAACCAGCTTAGTTATTCAACTTGGTTAGTTGTATTAGCTAGTTTGGCTAATTAATTAATTGTCTAAAAGTATTTGGTAATAATTCATTACCCGATACATAATTACTTTAATTGTACCATAGTAAAAACTAGAAACTAAAAAGAATTGACGCTACTAGTTCTAACTATGGACATTCTTTTTTAAAGAGTCCCAACTTTTTTTTCAACTTATGGCAGTCCCAACTTTTGGGGTACTTCGGTCAAATTGATTAAAAAAATATGTTAGGGACCGTTTTGAAAAGGACGATGTTAATTAGGATTGCCTTAAGTTTATCGATAATTAGACCATTAAAGAAACTGACCATGCGTAGTTGAGATAGCTGGCGTTAATTTTTCCGAACTGAAATTGATTGATAGAACCAAACATGCAAATTTGTGCTCTAATAGTTTTGTTTGGTTCAAACAAACAATGAATAATTAATTAATACAAATAAATTATATAATTCACTTAGCCATGATAGTAATTAATACCGAACATATAAGAGTCATTTTGCAACACTTCACAAAGTTCTCCAAAACCTCAACTCTCAATTTTCATGCACTCCTTTTTTTTTTAATTATTTTGTTAATAACACACATACATTAAAATACTATGTACCTATTTTATTATATTATCCTATAAATTTCTTTTTAGAAACCCCAATATTAAAAGGAATCCATAATATAATTGCACTTTTTTTTTTCCCTAACTTTTCAGCACAGCTGCAGAGCACTTGAAAACTCAATCTTTTTTTTGAAATTATGTGCACTTCATTTTTTTTCCATAAGTTCCCAATTTTCCTTTAAGAAACTATAAATAGTGGAGTAGAAGTTTTGGAGTTTTATTTTAAAAAATTCAAATTAGAGAGGTTTTTTAAGAGTTTAAGACATCTATAATGCTGAGGGGTAATCCCTATAAAACTTTCATAATCGCCGCCCACACGATATACACAGCTACATATAATGATTAGTCACTATATCAAAACAACTTCCTGTAGTTGAAATATAATTTTGTTATTAGAGTTTTTTTTTATATATTTCTGTAAAATATATATCCCGTGCATTTTATACTGTTACATTCTAGTATGCTGTAATAGTTGAGTGATTATTAAGGAAAATAAAATGTACATAAGCATTTTAAAGGAGTAATGACAATACCATAGAACTTAGGAACAGCATGTTGGCACCAAATGAGTTCAATATTGTTGGCCTCGTCAGTTCCATGCAATGCTGTTACGGGCAATTGATGAGAAACCTACGAACAAGGGGCAGCAAAAGATGGTATAAATACGTATGTATGTATAATATATACGGAGTGCAAAAGATTAAATTAAAGTATTAGTAAGTTACGTACGTACGTACTTGTTCAACTAGGACTTAGAGGGTGCCTCTAGATGCATGATGAGTTTCACCAAGAATAGGGTTGAATGGGGCAACCCCAAACACCGGCGTACGAAGAGCGGAGAGGTTCCAAGCAACAACCGAGATCATCCGGTCGATGGCATTCTCTCCGGTGGCGCATTTTCTAAGCATGTCCTTGTTTACACAATATACTAATTCTCCATAGCATTGTAGTTGTGATTTTGGAAAATTAAACAAGGGAGGTAGCTGAAAATGTACACATCGAAATTTCCTTATTAATACTCCATAGTAAACTAGAGTATAAATACATATATTAATTCAAAAGTTTTGATTTGATTCCCATTCATTACATATTTCTCCCCTCTACCATATGTCCATATCTATCTATATCAAATGATAGACCGCTTTTGAAATTTAGTAAGTGTAAGATTATAGTATACAGTTATGACATTTTTAGTTTTTATTTACTCATTCGTTCCCTTAAAATGACCACTTTTG